AAGCGCCTACCCGCCATCTACTGGCAAGTTTGCTTGCGTGCTTGCTTCATAGGCCTGAAATAGGCAACAAGGCAACGTATCTTGCTTGCCTTGCTGAGCTGTGCAGTAAAAACCTGACCCGACACACGTGTTTTTTTTTCGTTTATTAACAAAAGTGTGTAATCAATCAAATTATTAAAGTTAAAACAGGTAAATATTATAATTTATATATAATTTGAATCAAGTTCCTCGAAACAACTTTTGAACTTTGTTATTAATGTATAGAAGCTAGGAAATAAATGCACCGGTAAAAATGGAAGACGTGGAAGACAAAGAGAACAAAATTGAAATTGTTTACAAAAATGAAAGCAAGTTTTTATTCATCACCGATAGAAAACTTGCTAAAAGTATTTTACAAAAATACTATCCAAAAGGTGTAATGTTAACCTATAAAGTTGTTGGTGAAACTTTCATGCTTGTTTGTGATGAAGCATTTATATACTTGAAACCAAACATAAATAAATATGAGGACAATCTGAAAGAAGGTATTTAAATTATTTAAATAATTTTTATTCATTACACAATCATAACTCTGTAAAGTCATATACATCCTTTGATTTTTAGACGATATGCGTATTACAGCTGTCAAAAATCCAATAAAGGAACCAAGTGGAAGATTTTTGGAAATCTTAGAAAAAATTGGTGGCAGCGTCAAAGACTGTGATAATAAGCCCACAACTAAGGTTACTTGATTTTTTAAATAATTTATCACTATATTTATATTTATATACGTATGAAAAAACATTTTATCGCATGGATTCTAGCACAAAAGGTCATGAATAAAAAACAAGAAGTAGCACTCAAAAAACTCACTCCACCAAAAAAGGAACTTAAAAGAAATGTACACCTCAGTTGGAAACATCGATATGTAAATTCGATTAAGTACGAATTTATGGGAGCACAAATAGGTAAAAAAATGATCATCCAACTAGATGGCAACGTAAATTATTCTGTTGAAGAATTAAAAGTTCTTTTAATGTCAAAATATGTTGATGACAAAAACCGATGGTATTTTGAAAATTCATCATTAGAAATCGGTACTATTGAAGGTATACCTATACTGCATTTTATTGATGCTCAAAACAATCTCTGCACATTTTGGAAATTTAGTACATATCTCAGAAATGCCGCACACCATTTAAATATTTGCCTGTTGACGACAGAATTACAAATACGAACTGCAGCTAAACGCTTTACATCTACGGAACCTTCAAACTTTGTTTTTGATATTACTTCTGATAAGGTTCCATGCAAAAAAATAGCAACTGCGAATCAGAGCAATCATGTTGTAAATGAAAATTCGAAGATTAAAGAGAAAACCATCACTGAGAGCCCTATAGTAGATAATACTGATAGTGAGTTGCAAAATGACAGAACCGTAGAGCATTCGACATCCAGTATAATTGCATTACCTTCATGCAGTGATCTATTAAAAAATTATGAAGCTTCAAACGAAAAAAAAAGATCCAAAACGACCGTTTCTCCTATTAATAACGACTCTTTGTATAATGTTGATAATAAGGGTAGTTCATCAGAACATCATTCAGATAAAATTTCTACTACTCCTACTGTGCCCTTGAAAAAAAAGCCAAAGATTTCTGGATTTTCATTTACAATTCCACAAATTGACGAAAGTGAACTAACTTTTTTGAATGAAATTGGACGAGGAGCTCAAGGTATCGTGCGCAAAGGAAAGTATTTGTTCAATGATGTAGCCATAAAAACAATGCAACGAGGAACCAGAGATAAATTTATTATCAAGGAACTGAAACTCTTAGAGAAGGTATGTTATCCTGGTGTTATTAATGTACAGGCATTCAGTTACACTCCGATGCAATTTCACATTGTCACAGACTTCTTTGAGTCATTTTCTTTATTTGACGCTATTTTTAATGATCAAGTTAAGAAAGAATATGATTTATCAACTGAAAACAAAAAGTATATAGCTGCACAAATATGTTCTGCATTGGCCTACTTGCATTATCAGCCTTCACCAATTATTCACAGGGATATTAAGCCAGGAAATATCTTGGTGGCTAAAAATTATAAAACAAAGTTGTGTGACCTAGGTCTTGGAAAATGTGGGGATTTAGATAATAATCTAAATTCTACGTGTGTTGGCACCCTTAGAGGTACATTAGTATTTATGTCTCCAGAAGCAATATTGGATAGAAAAGAAGCAACTACGTACTCCGATATCTGGGCTTTGGGGTGTACTCTTGTAGAATTATTCAGTGAAAAAGAAATGTGGCATGAAAAGCAGATTTTAGATATTTTATCAATGGTGATGATTTTTCAAAAAAGCACCATTCCAAAATTTATCAATATCCCAACATTTTTAAAACCAATGCTACAATCGTGTTTTAGTTATGAACCAAATAA